AAAGCAACTGAAAGTCAATGAACTAAGCACCCAACATAAGTAAATAATAAGAGAATAAAAGCAGAGACATAGAAAAAAAGGTAAGAAAGCTAAGAGCAGAAACGAATTTGTTTGAAAGGAAACCTATAGTAGAGAAGATCAGTGAAGTCAAAGTTTTTCTGTTACAACTGTTAATAAAATAGGCAAATCTGTGGTGAGAATATCAAGAAAGAAACCGAAGGAACAAATAAAAAATACTAGGGGAAACAGGGAGCATACAGATTAGAAAGAATGTATGAACTGCTTTATGCAAACAAATTTGAACATTTAGATGAAATGGGCAAACTCCTAGAAAGTGATAAATACCTGGGGCACCTGGGTGTTTTAGTCAGTTGAGTGTCCGACTTCGGCACAGGTCACGGTCTCGCAGTTCATGAGTTCAAGCCCCACATCAGGCTCACTGCTGTCTGTGTCAACGTGGAGCCCGCTTCAGATCCTCTGTGCCCATCTCTCTACCCCTCCCCCACTTGCGCTCTCCCATAAATTAAATAAATAAATAAGTAAACAAACAAACCTAAAACAGATTCAAGAAGAAAAAGGCTTATTAGTTGTATCAGCATTAAAAAAATTATTATGGGGCGCCTGGGTGGCTCAGTCGGTTAAGCGTCCGACTTCGGCTCAGGTCACGATCTCGCGGTCCGTGAGTTCGAGCCCCGCGTCGGGCTCTGGGCTGATGGCTCAGAGCCTGGAGCCTGCTTCCGATTCTGTGTCTCCCTCTCTCTCTGCCCCTCCCCCCGTTCATGCTGTCTCTCTCTGTCTCAAAAATAAATAAATGTTAAAAAAAAAATTAAAAAAAAATTATTATAAATCTTTTCCCATAAAAACACCAGGCCAGACATTCAAGGAACAGAATTATATACAAACTCCTGCATAGAATAGAAAAGGAGCTCCAAAAAGGAGCTCTCCAGTTTATTTTTTAAATCCGATAGAACTTAGATATCCAAACTAAACAAAAAGAAACACACTGTATCTAGCAGTATTTGTAAAAGATAATGCATGATGACACAGTTGGTTTTGCTCCAGGAATGCTAGGTCACTGCAGTATGAGAAAAGGTAAAAAGAGCACAAGGGAAATACTTACAGCATTCCCTTTACTGTAAGTAAGAATGTCGTTACCTCTTTTGATCAGAGGCCAGACAACAATGAAGGAGTAAGAATCAGAAAAGAAGAAGGATTTATAAAGATTGCAGTTGAAAGATTGTTTTTTGAGTTTTCTACTGAGAAGACTATACAGATAAATTATTGGAATTAATAAGAATAAGGTGCTAGATATAAGATCATTATCTAAAAATTTATTTAATTTCTGGAATCAACCACAAAAAGAAAATGTAATTTTTTTTTCTTAATGTTTATTTTTGAGAGAGACGGAGACAGAATGCGAGTGGGTTAGGGGCAGAGAGAGAGGGAGACACAGAATCTGAAGCAGGCCCCAGGCTCTGAGCTGTCCACACAGAGCCCGACATGGGGCTCGAACTCACGGACTATGAGATCATGACCTGAGCTGAAGTCGGACGCTCAACCGACTGAGCCACCCAGGCGCCCCAGAAAATGTAATTTTTTAAAGATAGGGTTGAAGTAGCAGCAAAACATATCTAGGTATATAAATCAACTACGTATGTGCAAGCTCTCTACAGAGAAAGTCAGCAGTAGTAGGGTCAGAAAAAACTAGTTTCAGATCCTCTCTTTGCTTCTGTCTCCATGACTAGATCCAGAGCCTCTCTCAAATCCCCTGAGACTGGTAGTGTACCCATCTCTTAACACTGTAACTGAGTACTTAATTAATAAATGATTGTCATTCTCACCTGGGAACAGTAGTGATTTTGATTAAGAAAACTTAAATTATGGTCCTTATATGCTATTATAGAATTTAGGGAAATGAAGAATATATTTTGTTTTTCTATAAAAATGACTATATGTTGTTTGTTTTGGTGTTTTTATGATAAGCTTCTATCTGAAACTTCCCTCAATAAGGGAAGACCTCATTCTTAAGGGATGCTATAGATCAGTGGGGCAAAATCACACAGAGTTAAAGCAAAACCAGATCTACCAATATCAACCCAACATCAGTATACATTTCTATGACCATAAACTGCATGCTGTTGCTTTAGTTCTGAGATCTGTGTATGGCTGGTTGCTGCTTTTCTTGGCCAGACACATACAGCAAGGAGTCTCTAAAGGAGTCACATTTAGAAAAGAGAAACTATTTTGGGGCACCTGGGTGACTCAGTCGTTTGGGCGTCTGACTTCGGCTCAGGTCATGATCTCACCGTTTGTGAGTTCGGGCCCCACGTTGGGCTCTGTGCTGACAGCTCAGAGCCTGGAGCCTGCTTCGGCTCCAGTATAACATATAACAGTATAACATATTCTATGTAACATTTTACTCTGTTTCTGTGTAACATTTCTCTACACATACAATTAAGCATTACTAACAGCATCTTTAATGAGGGCTGGAAACTATTCTTTTAATGTAAGTATTCTCAAACATACATAAGTTTAAGCTGGAAGGTGGTTAGAAGCTTTAAAGGTTGGTTCTCTCTTCCCCTTATAAATAAATACCTTTTTTGTCTTTTATTTAGCTGCACGTTATGAAGAAGGAGAGTCGGAAGCAGAGAGCATTACTTCATTTATGGATGTTTCAAATCCTTTTTATCAGCTTTATGACACAGTTAGGAGCTGTCGGAATAACCAAGGGCAGCTTATAGCTGAACCTTTTTTTCATTTGCCTTCAAAGAAAAAATACCCTGATTATTATCAGCAAATTAAAATGCCCATATCCCTACAACAGATCAGGTAAGATGTCTTCTACATTATTCCGTAGAAATCCATTTTCTTATGGTTGAGCCCTGCATATCTGTCTCCTTCCTAAAATGGATAAGGATATTAAAGGTAAAAATGTTTGCATGTCTAGAGTATGCTTGAATATTACTCCTGTGTGAAGGGTGAGAAATAAATTTGATTACATTCAAATGGTATTCTTTGTACTACAGTAGAGTCAAGGCAAGTGAACCAAAGTTATTCCAGCTAGGCAACTCAAAAGTCATATAGCTCAGAATTTAACTGTCCATTTTCTTACAACTGAGCAAAACACAAAAATCTTTCTGCTTATACCTCTCAGTGATATTTTAATTATAACAGTTTAACTGTATTTAAATTTTGTATCTACAGTTGAGCCCCCAGAATAAGTATAGTTAGCTCTTAGAGAATTCATTATTTGAAACAATACCTGAAAGATGGCCCATCTTGGTTTCCCTTTTCTGTATAGAAAATGGTAAAATAATCAGAAGAGCCTAGGTGGCTCAGTTGGTTAAGCATCTAACTCTTGATTTTGGCTCAGGTCATGATCTCACAGTTTGTGGGTTCAGGCCCCTTGTGGGGCTCTGTGCTGATAGTGCAGAGCCTGCTTGGGATCCTCTCTCTTCCTCTCTCTCTGCCCCTCCCCTGCTTGTGTGCATTCTCTCTCTCACTCTCTCAAAAATAAATAAACTTAAAAAAAAAAGAAAATTACCATTGAGGGATGACTGGCTGGCTCAGTTGGTAGAGCATGGTAACTCTTGATCTCAGGGTTGTGAGTTCTAGCCCCACATTGGGCATGGAGACTACTTTTAAATAAACAAACAAATAAAGAATCATTGGGAAATCAGCCAGACAGAATACTGAAACCACCACATTATTAAAAATAATAGGAAATAAGTAATATTGTAACTCTCACAGTGTGGGTTAGGTTTTACAGTATACCTAAATAGAGGTAACAACACAAAAATAATTGGGTAAAATCACACTAAGCTGATATTTACCAGGGCAGGTGACTCACTTTCCAAATAATAGAAATTAAAATTCTTATACTTGCTGAATCCTAGAAAATAAGTTTGGCTAGCAACAGGTGTTTCCTGGTTTTGCATTTGTAATTTCCATGTTCATCATTTGATCAGTAAAATTTATGGTGTTTTTACTTAATCCAAACTTGGGAGGTTTTGTACACAGGTAGGATAATAGAAAATTAGTTTATTTTGCCCTCTTAAAATAGTATTGAAATTAAAGCTGTCATTCATGAAGAAAATCATTTGGAAATTGTCTTTTATACTCTTTATCTTGGGAAAGGTAGTGACAGTCTTCTAGATGTTGAGAGGTTCTCTTTTAACTCAGCAATTTTTGTCCTTAGTTTCTTTTCTCCCTCAGTCTTTGTTGTTGTTCAGTCTAATTCATTAATTCAAAAGAAGACATATTTCAAGCCAACTCAGTCACCTGCCTACAACCTTCTTCTGGTTAAAATTTTCTAGTATAAACCTTGCTTTGTTAAGTCAATAATTCTGTGCCTTCCCCCTTTTTAAATTTACTTTTTGACAGTTGTCTGGCACACAGGTAGGGGAGTGTGAGGAATGGAGAAGTGGCTGAGAACTAGCTGGGAGCACAGTAGAATTCTGCAGGGTCAGCTTTTAGGGTGACTCATCTACCTCCTTTCTAAGGACCCACAGGCCAGTGGTGCCTAACAGGAGCTGGACCACCTTCCGTTGTCTCTCCATAGGAGCAACAGGGAAATTGACAGCAGTACTGCCGACTAGAACTTTCTGTGATGGTGGAAATGCTATTTTCTCTGCCCTGTGCATTATGGCAGCCACTAGTCACACGTGACTATGGAGCACTTGATATGTGGCAGGTGCAACTAAGGAACTAGATTTTAAATTTTATTTTGATTTAAATAGCTACACGTTGCTAGTGGCTACTCTATTATATAGCCTAGTCCTAGGAAGATTTGTTGGCAGAAGTATGATAGTTGAGTGTCATCAAAAGCAACAGAAATGGAAGAGTGGTCAGGAACTAGACAGTGTGGCTCCATATGCCACCTTTCACTGTGCTGAGTCTTGTCAGCCCCGTCTTTTATTTCCCATTCGGCCCATCCCACCCCTACTATGCTTGATTAACATCAGTCTGATGAATATCTGAAGATTTACTGTAGATTGTCACTTACAAGTTTGAGTTCCATGTCTGTTCTTCATGGGTATTGAGAATACTCAGCACATTACCCCTGGAGTTGGCCTGAATAATGATGTCTGAGGCTGTAATTTAAGTTCTGGGTGCTAGCTACATAAGCTGGTACTGAGAACTGAGTTTCTGCATCGTTGTTGTTTGCTTCATCCCACAGATGTCCTCTAACACTCGTGTCTTTTTAAGCCCACATGGAATCTGCACATAGTTTGTGGGTGCTTCCATCAGAAGATTTCAAAGTCTATCCTAAGTGCATATAGTTAGGGCAAACTGGCTCTTAACTTCATATAAAATGTATAAGGGACTTTATGAGAGTTGGTGTTAGCAATAGCCATAGTGTCTGAGAGACATATCAGAATTCTTAAGGCTTTTGGGGTGCCCGGGTGGCTCGGTTGAGCGGCTTCGACTCCAGTCATGATGTGTCATAGTTTGTGAGTTCAAGCCCCGCATTGGGCTCTGTGCTGACAGCTCGGAACCTGGAGCCTGCTTCAGATTCTGTGTCTCCCTCTCACTCTGCCCCTCCCCTGCTTGCATGCTCTCTCTCTCAAAAATAAATAAACGTTAAAAAAAAAATTATTAAGACTTTTTAAATTTTTTTTTTCAACGTTTATTTATTTTTGGGACAGAGAGAGACAGAGCATGAACGGGGGAGGGGCAGAGAGAGAGGGAGACACAGAATGTGAAACAGGCTCCAGGCTCTGAGCCATCAGCCCAGAGCCTGATGCGGGGCTCGAACTCACGGACCGCGAGATCGTGACCTGGCTGAAGTCGGACGCTTAACCGACTGCGCCACCCAGGCGCCCCAAGAATTATTAAGACTTTTAAGTAAAATAAGTAAAAACGTCAATTTTAAGCCATCATAATGAGTTACAAATGTTTGTATCGGAAGGGTGGTAGTGAATGGACTCTGACGTGTGTGCGTCTCATTTACCATCTTAAGATATCTTCGTTGTACATACATGTATCCCCTGAGTTGCTCTTTCATGGTGTTGCCAGTACTTTCTCTTTTCTTTCACCCTTATGAATGGGAACGGACTTTTATTTTCAGAAGTGGCTAGATCACCATGGTTCTTCATTAAGGTAGCTTAAAACCTCCTTGATTTTTTTTTCTCTTCTTGGGGTTTGAATATTAGCCACTATGGGTTTTCCATTAGGATTTTTGCTAGTATATTTGCTTTGTAATTGACCACCTTGACACCTAGGTCCTCTTATTACTTCTTCTAGTGTTTCGTTCTTCTGGATTTTCAGGTAGACTGTTGTGCTAACTACAATGGTGCTTTTGCCTCCTGTATTGAAAGTGCCCCTACCAGGCCTCTAATCAATGTCACCAGTGAAGAGGCCAGTCACTGCTTGCTAAGACTTTCAGTAAGGATGTTCCATCGTTTTCGTAAAGGCAAAGTGTAGCTATGTGTTTGTCTTTCACAGAACAAAGCTCAAGAACCAAGAGTATGAAACTTTAGATCATTTGGAGTGTGATCTGAATTTAATGTTTGAAAATGCCAAGCGCTATAATGTTCCCAACTCAGCCATCTACAAGCGGGTCCTAAGATTGCAGCAAGTCATGCAGGTATGATGCCTTGGGTTTGCTTGGCTGCAGCGTGTGTGACTGAGGTGATTTCACAAAGTACGAGGCTGTGCTTTTAAGAGGTGTGATTTCTCCCAGCATTGACACATCATTTATTTCAGCCACAAGTCCTGCTGGGTACTTTTTTAGAGTTGTCAGGACCATGTAGAGTAAAAGAATAGTTTAGACTTAGTTGCCTTTGTGAGTGGAAGGAGCGGGGATTTGTGCCTGGGGAGTAATTTTACAGTCCTCAGGAAGTTTCCTTCCAGTCACAGACAATATTCTGTTATTTAGATTTCATTTCTTTTGTCCTAGATTTTGCTAAGGTGGGATTAGTCCTAGGAGAAAGGACACCTTAGAGCTAATTCATCATTGTACAGTGTCCATGAATTTATCAGATCCTTTCTGATGGGCATCTGGAGTCATGGGTCCCTTATGGGTTTTGAAAGATAAAGGAATAGATACGAAATACAAAGTGTGTCTGTTGGTTTTGGGTAGACTCTTTCTGGAAAGAGAATCTCAGAGCAAGGAAGCAACAAAAGCAATTTTAGACCACCTATAGAATCTTCATTTTGTATAGTCAGTACTAGCATGAGTGCTGTGGATTTCAAGTATTTTCTTTCAGTACTCTGTATATCTTCTCTAAGTGCGGTGGTTGGACTTTCAGCTGTTTGGCAGAAGGTCTTTAAAAATGCATGTGTTGAAAAGTAGACCTTCTTTCACCTCTCACATTAAACTTTCTTCTTAGCCACACCATTGCTTAAGAAGTGAAGGGTACCAGAGACCGTCTTTGAATTGGCTTTACTTAAAATGACCCCTGGGGCCGGATGCCCCTACAACTTGCTTCAGTGCTTTTAATGTCTGTGCCCTTTGTAGTCTTGCATTTTAGTTATTGTTGATTCCTCAACCCTCTGGATCTGTTTTTTTAACCTACTTTTCTGTCAAGCAGGCTTTTGTTGATTGGGTTATTGAAAATCTTTACGGACTCTAATTTTGTGCATCCTCCATGCGGTTGTATTTTTCTAAAAGAATCTGCTATGTCTAGCTTATTAATAATCATATATTCTAGGAGTGTTCAGCACGTGAGCTTGACTCCTGGGATCTGCTCTGTTTCAGGCAAAGAAAAAGGAGCTTGCCAGGAGAGACGACATTGAGGATGGAGACAGCATGATCTCTTCGGCCACCTCTGATGCTGGTAGCGCGAAAAGAAAAAGGTACACACTCTTCTCACAGCTGGAGACACCTCCGTTTTTATTATTTTGTTTTTGAGAAATGCAGAAAAATGTGTTTTTAAGCGATCAGGTATGAATTTTCTTATAAGCTTTAATTATCTAATAACACATCTTCTGTTAGAATTCATTTGTAAATTGTATGATTAGCACTTTTGTTGGTGCAAGTACCGTACTGGTGTTAGATGATCAAGATGAAAAATGGTGACTACTTACGTTGCTTGGAAGAACATGTTCCTCTTTTTGCTGTCCGGGTTATTTTGTTTAATGTGGCATTTCAGGAGTGCCACTTAAATGTGATTTAGGTAATTTCTACATGGTGAATTGCAAAACATTCAGTACTATCACTGCAGTGAAGTAAGTCACTGATACTCTTACATCCTTGTTTTTCCTTATGAATCTGATCTTTATTTGCCATTTTAAGGATGTCAGATTGTAAACTACCAAGTCATAACTTCTTGTAGATCATACAATGCTAAGCCAGATGTTTGCTTTTCTCCTCTTTCTAATCTCTCTCTGAACTTCCCTAACCCTTCCTTTCTCTCACGGGTTGTATGGAAGGGCACCTCACTATGAGATTCTGAAGCTGGACTCCATAAAAAGTCATACAAGAACATCTCTTCTATCTACGCCTCCCACACAGAGTTTCTCTGGCTTGATCTTTGTGGAACACCATATTCTCCCTCAGCCTTAACTGTTTCACCATCTCTGTAGCAGCAGTCACTCCAGGGAGGACACCTTAAACAAGAAATAAGCTAATCGCTAATAGCGGGGACAGGTTCAAAGTTGAATAAAGAAGTTACTAGTAACTGTTGACACTGTTCTGTTCATGCACTAATAGATCCACTAAGATCAGAGGATTAAAGAAGTGGCTTACAAAAGAGAAGCTGTCCTGTCTTTTCCTCTTATAAATAGCATTTGGGAAAAATGTTTTAGCTTTGAAAATAACTGCTGTGCTATGCCATGGGAATTAAATTGATTGGTGTGCCCTGAGATGTGAGTCTCCTCCATTGCTGGCCTGTGAATTTCATCCTTCCAAGTTCTTAATTCCTTGTTATACCAGGGACAACGGAGGAAAAATGTGAAACCAGATCAGAGACATCAAATCAAGAACATCTTTGAGTATAATTATATAACTCTACTACAGCATCACCTGTGTTTTCCAGATCAGTCACCCATCAAAGATAAAAACTTCTAAGGCAAAAGAAGGTAATGGAGGCAAAAGTGATGGTACAGTTAGTGCCAACACTGAATGAAAAGAGAGATCTTAAACTAGTTGAGTGTTAAAAAAGCAGTTCCGAAGAAGCCTTAGCCCAGGCCAGAAACTTAAAAGTACCTATCTCTCTCTGTCACTTGTAGTTTGTGGGACAACCCAAGTACATCAAAAGAAAGTTATTACTCTAAAACCTCCCATTAAAAACAAAACTAAGAATTATGTTGTTGAAATCATAAAAATCCCACTTCAGACAAAAAGTCTCCATGAGCAGGTTTCCTAGGAAGTGTTTTGAATAATGAGGTGAAAAACACAAGAGCAAACATAAATCAAAGCTCAGGCAGTAAAAGAACATACCTGGTTTTGAAATCTAGGCATGAGCGGCCATTGAGAAGTTGAGAGAAGCAAGTCCTATACTCGGAACTGTGTGGCAAAGGAAGAAACATAATGAGCCTTTAGAAGGTAGCTAGTTATGTTAAGAGGTTTTGCTGATGAGAAATAGACTTTTTCCAGAATTCAGGCAAACATGGCTGCCTAATAGGTTAAGTTCAGCTTGTCCACAGAAGTCAGGGCCAGTACCATTCGACTTGATGACTCCTGAATATTGTGTATGACTCGATCTTTGCCTTTTTTTTTTTTTAATATCGCAGAGTATGAGAACAATTAATGTATGTTTTCTTCATTCTGGGAGTGCATTCTTCTCCCCCACCCCTTTGCCCAAAAATCTACCTGCTGTCTTCCAGGTTAAAATATTCCAAGTATTCTTAATATCTTTTATCCTTTGGATTGAAGAATCTTCTTTTTTCGCAACCTTATTTGGTTTATACATGATCCTCCGATGTTGCTTGTTTTGTTTCTCTTCACATGTAATGTTTGTTTCTGCTTTCCCAGGAACACTCTTGACAGTGAGATGTTGGGTCTCAGGAGGCTCTCCAGGTGTGCAGTCCTTTTTTATGCATAAACATATTTTTAAAAGTATAACTTCTGTAGCATGGTCAGAAGGTGAAAAGTGAAGACTTAAGCATGTGAAATGACAGTTTATTTTTGGGAGCCAGTTTATTTTATGAATAAAGCAAGCAGTATTGTTTGGAAGTATAGTTGGTAAAATCAATTCAGAATTAGTTAGCCTAGGTAGTTCAGAAGCCTTAATTTGTTGCCAGCTTTGCCAGGGGCAGCAAGCCCCCTCACCAGTCGTTGTGGTTTTGCTTGTGCAGCAGAAGGCTGAGGCCGGGAATACGGTGGCATCGCCAGGGTCCAGAGGCTGGCGGATGCTGATTCCCTTTCAGGATGTCTTTTACAGATTGAGGGGTGGTGGAAGGATCAAAATCAATGTTGACATTCCAAGTGATGTCAGCCTGTATTGGCGCCTATGCGTTGGGTTAGTGCTTCTCGAGCATGAATACATCTCCTCAGTCTCTGATCTTGCCCATGTTTTGTTTCTTTGATAGTATCCATTCTTTTGCATGTCACTTATGATTTTGAAAACAGCCTGCAAGTTGCCATGTTATAGTCTCAGTGATCATTGTGTGGTGCTTTTATTTTTACCTTAGCCTTCTGGCATTCATGGAGTGTCAATTGCTTGCAGAACACCAGACTCTGCTCTTACAGGCCATAAAGGAAAATGGTTAGGCATCATCTCTACCTGCCGGGAACTTACTGGCCAGAAGAGGCAGGTTGAAAACAAATGAAATTATGTGGAAGCAATGTAAAAAAATAATTGCACAAGGTACACTGTTGTGTAGTACTATAGAACTACATGCATGATTGCCCAGATAGCTCCAGGAAATATGATTTCCCTATCGTGCTTAAGAAAAGGTTTCTTAGATCACAAATTTAAGGAAAAGACCACGGGTTGTATTTCTTTTATATCGTTCATAGTGTATGCCGCTAGCTCTGGGTAGTAGTAGAAATACAAACGTGGGACATCATGAAGTAGTATCATACTCCCGAGCTCTAGAACTTAACTGCCCAAGTTCAAATCCTAGTTATTCTAATTAGCTTTGTGATCTGAACCTCGCCTCAATTTTCTCATCTGAAAATGGAATTGATAACTATACCTACATAAGATTGTTGTGAGGACCTGAGTGGTTAATGTGTTTGAAGCCCTTAGAACTGGGCCTAGATGCAGTTAGTACTCTGATTGTAACTCTGATTATTTCCTGGGAGTAGTTCCTATGACATTAAGACTCGGTAGATTTCATTTTGTGTTTAGTCCAATGTGTAGTCTGGGAAACTCATTAGAAAAGGTTTGTTATTTATTAAAAGGTTTTACTTATTAAAAGGTTTTATTCCTTAAAGGCTTAAAGATGCAGTGAATGTAACGAGCCTTGTAAAGGAGAGAACCTTTGGGTTTACTTAGCTTAATAGCAGACACCACTGAAACTCTAGGACCAGGTTGTTAAATGCTGGTAGACCTGGACGCTTATGAGGGTAGAGAGGCTCTTGGTAAGTGCTGACTTTTAGGAAAGGGAGCAACATCATACATTTTTCTTTGTTTGTTTTAACATTTATTTATTATTGAGAGACAGAGAGACACAGAGTGTGAGCAGGGGGGAGGGGGAGAAAGAGAGGGAGACACAGAATCTGAAGCAGGCTCCAGGCTCTGAGCTGTCAGCACAGAGCCCAACACAGGGCTCAAACTCACAGACTGCAAGATCGTGACCTGAGCCGAAGTCGGTCGCCTAACCAACTGAGCCACCCAGGTGCCCTGGGAGCCACATCATAAAAGCAGCCTGGTCTCAGTTCTCATTGGTCACTTTATGACGTTAGGTATTTGCTTGATTTCTTTAATCCTCCAGTTTTCCATCGGCAAAGTTGGGATTGTAAGTGTACCCCCGGTTCTTAGAGTTTGAGGATTAAATGAGATTGCACATGTAGTGCTCATTAGCACAGTCCCTGGCACATGGAAGAAGTGTTAACTGTAACTATAAATGGGAATTTTGTGTTTATATGCAAATATGAATACATATAAAAAATAACAGCTTCAGAGGAAGAGTAATTGTTAAGGACATTTGAGAAAGTGGTCAGCCTCAGAGTATGAGGGTGAGGACTAACACTGTGGCATGAAAAATTGAAAGGCAAGATCAGACCCAGAAGGGCTGTGGAGGCCCTCTAAAACTTGGTGATAAACTAAGAGAAGCAAAAAGTGACAGTGATTACAGTGTTTGAGACTGGCTGGGAGTCAGGAGGATGTGGTAGTGGTAGCCCTGGAAAATCAGATTCAGAACAGAGCCTTTTCTAGCTTCTAATCTTTGTGCAAATTAGAAAAAGCACCCATTTCTCAAGACACTTTCATTTGTTAGAAAATTGCTATAATAGAATGATTTTGTTAGCACAGACCCCTTTATGGCCCATCCCTTATAAAATTTTAGAACTGCATATTTATTACAACAGTGTCTGTTATCTGAATTGGCATCCCCTTAAGTGTGGCACCTGTAAGTGCACAGTGATAAACAGCCCTGGATTTGAACTCCCTTGAGATATAGTTTACTTTAGTGTGTTCAAAGGTGCTGATTAAAAAAAGAAGAATGAGTATGCCAGTTACAAGGTCCAAGATTTATGTGCCTTTCCCAAAATGGGGAGGAGTAAACAAACTATTTACAGTTGGTGGTCTGAGAGAGGAGGACAGGTAAGACGCATGGAAGCGTTCTAAGAAGAATCTGAAAAACAAAGTAACATTGAAAACAGTGAACAGAAGGGCAGCTAGGTGGCTCAGTCTGTTGAGCGTCCGACTTCAGCTCAGGTTATGATCTCGCAGTTGGTAAGGTCAAGCCCTGCATCGGGCTCTGTGCTGACAGCTCAGAGCCTGGAGCCTGCTTCGGATTCTGTGTCTCCTCCTCTCCCTCCGCCATCCCTGCTTGCATTCATCTTTCCATCTCTCAAAAATGAATAAACGCTTAAAAAAAAAAGAAAGAAAGAAAGAAAACTGAACAGAAAGTACCAGTTAGGGGAATATGGTATCTGTTTTTTGTAATGTAGAGTTTACTGCTTTCAGAAAGTACTTGAAGTTACTTCCAAGAGTCATGGATATAATAAAGTTCAGCATCCATATTGGAAAGAGATAAAGTAAATACACCAGCCACCCAAGCTAAAACAGTTGCTATAGAGAGAATGAAATTTAGCTCTTGAGTTTTTTCTGGCAGCCAGATTAAAACTAATGAACCAGTAGTTCTCAGTCACAAAGGCAATATAAGGATCCAGGAAAATGTCAGCAAAGTAACAAAACTGAGTTTGTTCAGACAAGGTTATAAGTGGCCCTGATAACAAAAGTTTTGCTTGCCTTTGAGGATAGAAACCAGTTACACATCACTCTCTTAAAGAGTGAATGATACAAATGGGAAAAAGATACTATTGGTAATAAAAGTCCTAAAAGAGTACATTTCAATTATTAGAGCACTGTCTTAAATAAACTCAGATTTCCCATTTTGAATTATATATTTTTTTACATGTTTGGTTTTTTGGGGTTTTTTTGAGAGAGAGAGAACACAAGCAGGGGAGGGGCGGGGGTGGGGGGCACAGAATCCGAAGCAGGCTCCAGGCACTGAGCTGTCAGCACAGAGCCCGAAGCAGGGCTCCAACTCATGAACCGTGAGATCATGACCTGAGTAGAAGTGAGATGCCTAACCAGCTGAGCTACCCAGGTGCCCCAGATTTCATATTTTGGATATGTCCCATATAAGGCTGCCTAGTGTCAGAGTTATCCCACTCGCCCATCTTTTACTTTGTTGACCCTTTTTCTAAAATCCAGTTAAAAGCCTTCCCTCCTCTTCAAAAAGCTCATGAAATTCTGCCCTAGATCCACTGTCAGAGTATTTGTAGCTTCATATAGAAAAGTCCAGTGGTAATTGGGAGTAGTGTACTAGAACTAGGAAGGGAAGAGAGCTTACCTGGACTAAGTAAGGCACCTTGAATTGTTATGTATGGTATTCCTGGAATGAGGAGTGATTTCATTTTGAGTTGATGATTGAAGAGATTTTTTAAGCTTGGGTTCAAAATGGGATTTCTGTGGATGGAACTGAAAGTATCATGCTAAGTGAATTAAGTCAGTCAGAGAAAGACAGATACCGTATGTTTTCACTCATGTGGATCTTGAGAAACTTAACAGAAGACCGTGGGGGAGGGGAATGGAAAAAATAGTTACAAGCAGAAAGGGAGGGAAGCAAACCATAAGAGACTCTGAAATACAGAGAACAGACTGAGGGATGGATGATGGGAGTTGGGGAGAGGGGAAAATGGGTGATGGGCATTGAGGAGGGCGCTTGCTGGGATGAGCACTGGGTGTTGTATGTAAGCGATGAACCATGGGAATCTACCCCCAAAACCAACAGCACACTGTATACACTGTGTGTTAGCCAAGTTGATAATAAATTATATTTTTAAAAAAAAGAAAGAAAACAATCAATTCTGGAAAACAAACAGAAAAACCAAAATGGGATTTCTGAGTCTTCATTTTGAAGTTCTACCCCTCTACACACAAGTGAGACCCAAAGAAACCATAAGTATCTTTAGTAGTTCTAACATAGATTTCCTGGGTATCAAATTGAGATTCTGAAATTTTTCTTTAGAGGCTTCTGTCATCTGTGTTCTAATCTCTGCCCAGATGTGGAGCTCTGTGGTTTTGGAGCTCTGTCCCAAGTTCCCTTTCCATTATCCACTTGCTAGAGTCCTGGACTAAGAGGACTCTTGGCTCTCCCCAGATGTCTCTTCAAGGAAATAATTCCCACTGGATGAAACTCCTAACATATCTAACAATCATTTACCTGATGCAGAGACACAAAAGTACTAAGAGGGGAAAACAGCAGAAATGGTCCCGGGACCATTCAGGATTACCCAAGGGAAATGAGCAGTCTGAGTGAAGGCAAAGGAAACAGGTTCTTTTTCCCTTCCTAACTAACCACTTCCACACTGTCTTAGCTCCATGATGCTTGGAAGATAGGCATTTTTGACATTTTATTATTTATTTTTATTTTCCCATTTCTGACACATTTAAGTTTATTTATTTTGAGAGAGACAGAGACAGCATGAGTGGGGTTGGGGCAGAGAGAGAGAGAAAGAGAGAGAGAATCCCAAGCAGGCTCCATGCTGCCAGCGCAGAGCCCAATGCAGGGCTTGAATCCACGAAACTATAAGAGAACATGACCTGAGCCAAACCAAGGTGACTGAGCTACCCAGGCGCCCCTCATTTCTGACACATTTTAAAAGCTTGACTTAAAGGTGGATATTTCTTTTCTTGTCTATTAATTATTCTGTATTAGGTTTTGTTTCTTTTTTAAAAAACATATTTTGAACTTGGGAGAGAAAATAATCTGGCCTTTGGCCTCATCGTGACACAGTAGAGTGAGTCACTGAACCAGGAGACCCATTTGGCCACATAGTTTTCTTCAGAAATGTACTTCCTTCCATTTATAAGACAGGAAACAGATAAAAAATATTTACTTCTAAGTACTACATTATACCACCTTATAAGCATTTGTTGAATAGAAATTAAGTCATAAATCATTTCATTTTATTACCTACCTGAGTATTCATCTTGAGACTGCTGGTTTGAGCTTTGGTAGAATTTATCAGTGTCCTGAAAACATACACATAGTGGGCCAGAAATCATGCTGGAAAATCATCTCTTCTAATAATTCACTGGACCACTCGCCTTGGGCAAGTCATTTAGCCTCTCTGAGCCAGTTTCCTCAACAGTTAAGAGACAGACTATCTGTTCTCTTGGGCTCCTTTTTAACTCAGGTTCTAACCTGTGGCCCCTTGACTTTGTTCCACACTACACATATTTGTGGCTTAGTTTCACATCTCACAGGGAGAATTTGGAGAACAAGACAAGGACTCACATTCAAGATGAAAATTTTCTCAAGAGCTCAGGTGAACCACTGAGCATTTATTCCTTAGGCTAGATTGGGATTTTGGAGTAATGCTGACAGAGCTGGAGGGAGCAGGGAGTGACCTAGACAGGATAAATGCAGGAGAGACCTGTATGCATTGTAGAGACTCTAGTCTTGCAGGTAGCCTCCCTTTGTTTTCTGGTAATCAGGATATGCAGGTACTCAGAGTGGTTGTCTTAAGAGATGGGATATTCTCTGTGTGTGTGTTTGGTTTTGGTGTTTTTTTTAAAAAAAATTTTTTTAATGTTTGTTTATTTCTGAGACAGAGAGCATGAGTAGGGGAGGGGCAGAGAGCGAGGGAGACACAGAATCGGAAGCAGGCTCCAGGCTCTGAGCTGTCAACACAAGAACCCAACACAGGGCTCGAACTCACAAACCGTGAGATCATGACCTGAGCCAAAGTTGGTCACTCAACCGACTGAGCCACCCAGGCTCCCCAGGTTTTGGTGTTTTGAAGTGAGACTGTTAGTAACAGCAGGGAATCAGTAGTTTTATTCCACTTTTGCTGTGTTCTTAAAAACAAAAAGTGTATTTCAACTGATAATAGAGTTTCATTTTCTTTGGATGTTAGAGAAAGCTTTTTTTTAAGCATTGCATTTCATAAATATTTTAAACAGGTTTGTCTGGTGTTCATTGGCTGCTCCTACTAGAGTCACTGTTTTAATTTTAACTATTTGGAAATTCTCCTAATATTTGCTTATAGCTTCCAGCATGTTTACTGTGTTTGTGGCATATGTAATCAGTAAATTATGATCATTATAAAGCACCTTCCCACAAGTTTAGTTTGTTTCATTTCATGTTCATCCCTGTATAAAGAAAACTGAACCTCTTCTCATTTCTCCCCTTTTCTACCTCCCGCCTCAACAGTAAAAAGAACATAAGAAAGCAGCGAATGAAAATCTTATTCAATGTTGTTCTTGAAGCTCGTGAGCCAGGTTCAGGCAGAAGACTTTGTGATCTATTTATGGTTAAACCATCCAAAAAGGACTATCCTGATTATTATAAAATCATATTGGAGCCAATGGACTTGAAAATAATTGAACATAACATCCGCAATGACAAATACGCAGGGGAAGAGGGAATGATAGAAGACATGAAGCTGATGTTCCGGAATGCCAGGCATTACAACGAGGAGGGCTCCCAGGTAAAAAATGTGTAGGAATCCTGCAGGAGGCACGTTTTCTTTTGGGTGCTGGTAGAGTAATGCATCTTGAGAGACCAGATCTAGAAGCCTCACTCAGGTTACTCTTCTCAATGAGTAGCTTAATACTTTGTCTTTTTTAATTGTTTAAAATGGGAGACAGTACACTGTATAGGTTAAAAGTTTATACTATGTAGTTTGACATCCCAAATTTGAATTCTGCTCTTCCAAAGCCCATGTAAGTAACTTATCTTCTCTGAGCTTCATTTTCCTCATCTGTGCAGTGGAGATAATAATAGTACTTCCAACAGGGTTATCACAGGATTTAAATGAGAGAATATACATAGAGCATGTAGCATGGTGCCTGGTGTTCAAATAAGCATTCAAATGAAAACCCAGTGACATTAAAATCTTTCCTCATTATTACTACCCTCAATAACATACTTCTCCAGGGAGAGTCCACAAAATGGTATGGTCATATAAGAATTAAGATATATTCATAAATGTACCTCTAAATCATTGATTTTGTTATGAAGCATCTTGATTTTCAGTTCTTTATCAGTATAACTAGGATATATTCTTTTGTTTTTTTATTTCATATTCTTTATTTTTTGTTGAAATTTAATTGACCTATACCATTATATTAGTTTCAAGTGTGCAACATAATGCTATTGTATTTGTATATATTGCCATGTGATTATAGTAAACCTCATTAACATTTGCAATCATGCATAGTTACAAAATTTTTTTTCTTGTGGTGAAAACTTTTAGATCTACTCTCTTAGCAGCTTTCAGATATGCACTACAGTTTTAATAACTAGCACCATGCTGTACACTATATCTTATTTTCTAACTAGAAGTTTGTGCTTTTGACCCCCTTCATCCATTCCACCTATCCCCATCCCCTCTCTCTGCGAACCACTGATCTGTTCTGTATGAGCTTGGGTTTTTGGTTTGTTTGTTTGTTTGTTTAGAATCTACACATATGTGAGATGATATGGTGTTTGTCTTTCTCTGTCTGACTTATTTCAACTAGCATAATGCCATCAGAGTTCATCCACATTGTCACAAAGGACAAGATTTCATTTTTTTTTTATGGCTGAATAATACTCTCCCCCACTCCCTCTCCCTCCCTCTCCCCGTGCATGCATGCGCACGCACGTGTGTTTTCTTTATCCATTCATCTATTGATGGACACTTAGTTTGCTTCTATACCTTGGTTATGGTAAATAATGCACTGAACATTGGTGAGAGTGCATATACTTTTCGAATTTCCTTTGTCTACATTAAATCTCCCAGAAATAAAATAACTTTAAAATCATGTATTTCTTTTCTTTTGCTCTTACAAAATAAACTAGGCATTGAGGGTACTTGTGATCAAACCCCCTATCATAGGGGTTTACACTCTCCTTAGTATCATTGGCGAATTTGCCACTTGTCTGCTACTGATTGAGAAAAAAGCCACCCTTAAGAAAAGTAGCCAAAGAAGAGAGAGCATTTATTCCTTCAGCCCCTCTGCTGTGGTGGCGGTCAGGGGAGCCTCTGTGGAGAGAGTCGGGGATATAGCTGTTGGGGTGTGGCCATTAGGTGAATAACCTTGTTCTTGGCTACATATTACCACCCTTGGCTCAGTCTTCAGAGAGCAGTCCCAAGCAGGGATTGTTGCTTTTCACAGATCAGAGTCTACATTGTGAATTCAGACTGATATTAAATGCCATTTAACAATATTTGAGCTAATACTGTCTATCAGATATTTTTCAGTTTTAATTCCCATTGAGCTAAGTCAGCTACCTTGAGGGTCCAGTGGGAGAGAGATTTATGAAAAAAGCAACACACGTAAATATGTTTCAGAAGTTCGGTAAAAACTTGCAGTGATTCTACTGCAGTAGTTCTGAAACTGTAGCATGCATGTCTGCACATTAGAATCACCTGGAAAGCTTAAACAACAAACCATTTGAGGCTGAGGCCCACCCCTCAAAGATGCGATTTTGTTACTCTGTAGTGATCTCAAGCTTTATTTCTTTAGTTCTCATCTATGCTAACCTGTGTCTTTAAAACTTCTTTATAGATGCATGTTATACTTCAATAGAACATTTTTTAGAAAATAATTTTAAATATATTTATGGAATATAGGTGTACAACGATGCGCACATCCTGGAAAAGTTACTCAAGGATAAAAGGAAAGAGCTGGGCCCACTGCCTGATGATGATGACGTGGCTTCTCCCAAACTCAAGCTGAGTAAGGCAGCCTCACACTTTTTCAGTTTAGTCTGTCAAGGATAGTACTGATTCACTGAGATAATACTTAATTTATTGGTGAATATGTTTGGACTGACACTTCCAGCATGGAGTTTTTTCTCTTCCCCTCAAGTACTCTCTTCTATATTTTAAGTAGTTAAAATGTGAAAAGCATGTGGGGAATAGTATATAATGTCAGAGGTTTTGTTAACTTTCTTAAATGCTGTGGACACTTTGTAAAATTTAAATGGTAAGAATAGATACTTTTCCCACATATTATGCCTGCAAGAGTGTAGTGGCAGATTTGGTATTTTATATGTTTGCTTGTTTGCTGATTACTGGAATTAAAAGTGAATCCCAGCAGCAGATCCTACATAGAATTCAAAGTATTAGATGCTCAGCCACTGCACTTGTCTTTTGAGTTGGTTTGTGGATGGTGATTTTATTAAAACTGTGAGGGAAGGAGGGGCTCCTGGGTTGGCTCAGTCGGTTAAGCATCTGACTTCCACTCAGGTCATGATCTCACTGTCCATGAGTTTGAGCCCCGCATCGGTCTCTGTGCTGACAGCTCAGAACCTGGAGCCTGCTTCAGATTCTGTGTCTCCCTCTCTCTCTGCCCCTTCCCTGTGCTCGCTTGCTGTCTCTCTCTCTCTCTCTCTCTCTCTCCCAAAGTTAAATAAATGTTAAAGAAATTCAAAGCAAAACAAAAAAACTGAGGGCAGAAAAGACAACAAAAGCAGTTAATAGCATTGGGCTAAACAAGAGGTTTCTGCCTTATTTACAGTATGTAAGTAAAATAAATACCAAGCCTATGATAATGGTGTTGTCAAATATTCTTTGGAAGTATATTTGCTGAAAGGGGAAAAACAAACAGACCTTGCTTTTTTATATGAAATTACTATAAATGAAGTATTATAGTAGTTTTGAGTATGACTTACTGCTAAGTGGTGATTCCTTCATGTTAAGGGATTTATCTTTTTATGGAATTGTAAAAGCATGCAGAAGTTTTGCAGAAATGAAAACCTTTGTTTTACTTTTTAGGGACACAGTGCCTTATAAAAATAGAATTCATTCTAGGGTGCATCTGACTAGCTCAGTGGAGCATGCAACTCTTGATCTTGGGGGCATGTGTTCAAGCCCCAGATTGGGTATAGAGATTACTTTTAAAAATTAATTTAAGGGGCACCTGGGTGGCTCAGTCAATTAAGTGTCTAACTCTTGATTTTGGCTCAGGTCGTGATTTCACAGCTCGGATCAAGCATCATATTGGGCTCTACGCTGACAGAGCAGAGTCTGCTTGGGATTATCTCTCTCCCTCTCTGCCCCTCCCCCCTCTAAATAAATAAATAAACAAATAACCCAAATAAATAAAATTTTTAAGAAGGGTTTTTAAAAAATCGAAATAATGCCATAAGTTGAGTTAGGAAACGGTAGATAATTCAGCAGTAACTAAATATACATATATTTTTTAAAGCTCAGGGAAAAGAAATTTTATTGTTGATTTCCTTTTCATTTCTGTTTTGTATTATGAAAAATTTCAAACATCTACAGATATGAAGAGTAGTACTGTTACTCAGCATTTATCAAGGTTGTGCCTTACTTATCTCCTATATCCACTGTTCTCTCTGTGTTTTTTGTTCTAAATTATTTTAAAGGAAATTCAGGCATGTCACTTCATTTTTACATAATTCAGTACGTACCTCTAATATTTGCAGGTATTTTATTAAATATCCATAAAATCATTGCTACTAACAAAACCATTTCTTGGTTTCACCTAATACCTGACAAATTTCCAAATTTTACTGATTGTCTCAAAATGTATTTTTACAGTTGGTTTCTTCAAATCAGGACTTAATTAAGTTCTTTATGTTCTATTTAATCATTATGCCCTCTGGCCTAACCTAGAGCAAACCCCTCCCTTTTTTTTTTTTTTTTTATGGTCAAGCCATTGACTCTTCAAAAACCAGACCACTTTTGGGGCGCCTGGGTGGCGCAGTCAGTTAAGCGTCCGACTTCAGCCAGGTCACGATCTCGCGGTCCGTGAGTTCGAGCCCCGCGTCAGGCTCTGGGCTGATGGCTCGGAGCCTGGAGCCTGTTTCCGATTCTGTGTCTCCCTCTCTCTCTGCCCCTCCCCCGTTCATGCTCTGTCTCTCTCTGTCCCAAAAATAAATAAAAAACGTTGAAAAAAAAAATTAAAAAAAAAAAAACAAAAAACCAGACCACTTTTTTTTTAATCTTTTTAATGTTTTTATTTATTTTTGAGAGAGAGAGAGAGAGGAAGAGAGAGACCGAGCATGAGTGGGGGAGGAGCAGAGAGAGTGAGAGACACAGAACCCGAAGCAGGCTCCAGGCTCTGAACTGTCAGCACAGAGCCCAACACAGGGCTCGAACCCACCATGAGATCATGACCTGAGCTGAAGTCGGATGCTTAACCAACTGAGCCACCCAGGTGCCCTCCTAGATCACTTTCTTGTACACTTTCATGTTCTGGATTAATCAGTTCACTTCTTTGTGATATCAGCTAACTTTTTCCTCTTTATTCCTCTCATTTCTTAAAAACATTTACTCCGGAGGCTTGATTAGATTAAGTTTCAGTTCAGCAAGGATGCTTCATAATAGGTTTTCTATACATACATTACATCACAGGTTGAAGCAGTGTCTGGTTGAGGTAGAATCTAAATAAGGTCCATATACTGCATTTGATTGATACTTCTAATCCATAAATTCTCCTCTCTTCTTTCTTTTTTTTTTTTTTTTTTTTTTTTTTTTTTTTTTTTTTTTTTTTGCCTTGCAGTTTATTTGTTGAAGAAACTGGGATTTTACTGTAGCTTCCCATAGTCTGGGTTTTGCTAATTGCGTTCCTTTGCTATAGTTTAACATGTTTCAGTGTGCTTGGCATTTCCTTTAAATTGACAATTGGAGCAAGAGGCTTGATCAGATTTAAATTAGATTTGATCTTCGTCCCCTCCTTTTGGTACAGAAACCAACTTCAGAGGTGGTATATGGGCTTTCATTGGGTGACCCTGTAACAGCTGGTTGTTTCTCCCATGTGTTAACAGCTATTGATGCTGACTACCTTAATTCATTAAAGAGGTATAAAATAGCAATAGTGTGATTTTATCATTCCTTGCTCATTTACCAACTGGAATACTTCTGTATAGAGAAACTATGCCTCATCCAGAATTTGGTTACCCAGTGGTAGTTTTTTGTTCATCTTGTTTTGGTTTGGTTTGGTTTGGTTTGGTTTTTTGTTTTGAAAGGATAAAAGGTGCCCCCCTCCCCCCTTGGCTTACTAGTTTTCAGAATAATGCATTGATTTACCAACATCCTCCAACATTTACCCAGCTCATTTGTTCAGTTTTATATATCATTAAGAACTACTAAATTTAGACATGTTGCTGGGTTTTAACCCATTGCAGTTGCCTTTATTGATGCTCCTGTTGTCCCAGGCTGGCTGCCGTGTTTTTTTGACATGACCATAGTAAGGAGGCATTGATAGATTCTTTACTATCTCATGTTTCAAGATACACAAGGTTCATCTTATGCCAACGGTGCATCTGCCATTTGCTGAAGAGTTACTGGTGTCAGTATTTGAAATCCCTATTTCAAAATTATAGTCAAAACCCCATGGGATTATACTGATACTGGATTGGTCATTGTTTCTAAGATTTTCAGTGGACAGAGATAAGAAATTTTGTGTGTGTTTGTTTTATATTTAAAGATAAAATACATCAAGGGGCGCCTGGGTGGCTCAGTCGGTTGAGCGTCCGACTTCAGCTCAGGTCATGATTTCACAGTTCGTGAGTTTGAGCCCCGCATCGCGCTCTGTGCTGACAGCTTGGAGCCTGGAGCCTGCTTCAGATTCTGTGTCTCCCTCTCTCTGCCCCTTTCCCGCTCATGCTCTGTCTCTCTCTGTCTCTCAAAGATGAATAAATGTTAAAAAAAAATTTTTAAATAAAAATAGATAAAATACATCATAAGTTCATACTGATGCTCTTAACTGAGCTTTATGGCTGTAAGGTTTTTATGCAGTGTTCTCTGTTTTAACATCTGTATCTTTTTTCCTACTGTGATAAAAATCTCAGTTCTCAAGGGTACTACAGGTGATGGAATTAGAATGCCACATAGCTATTCATTTGCTTTATTCTACCTTATTCACAACTATCTCAACATGGTAGTGCTTACTCTCTCACTAAAAAATGATTACTGAAAACAGTTTAAATTTTTTTCCAGTTTTTTTGTTGTCCCTAGGATATACATTAAACTGTGTTTTACGAATCGTTTGGAGTAGTCCCTTTGTTATGGTTATGCTTTACCAACCGTATACAAATTTGGGTTCATTTATTTCATTTTACCCACTTAACATTAAATCTCTTCCTTTAGGTAGGAAGAGTGGAATTTCTCCTAAAAAATCAAAATACATGACTCCAATGCAACAGAAACTAAATGAAGTCTATGAAGCTGTAAAGAACTATACTGATAAGAGGGGTCGCCGCCTCAGTGCCATATTTCTGAGGCTTCCCTCTAGATCTGAGCTGCCTGACTACTACCTGACCATTAAAAAGCCCATGGACATGGAAAAAATTCGAAGTCACATGATGGCCAATAAATACCAAGATATAGACTCCATGGTTGAGGACTTTGTCATGATGTTTAACAATGCGTGTACATACAATGAGCCTGAGTCTTTGATCTACAAAGATGCTCTTGTCCTGCACAAAGTCCTGCTTGAAACTCGGAGAGACCTGGAGGGAGATGAGGACTCTCATGTCCCAAATGTGACCTTGCTGATTCAAGAGCTTATCCACAATCTTTTTGTGTCAGTCATGAGTCATCAGGATGATGAGGGAAGATGCTACAGTGATTCCTTAGCAGAAATTCCTGCTGTGGATCCCAACTTTCCAAACAAACCTCCTCTTACTTTTGACATAATTAGAAAGAATGTTGAAAATAATCGCTACCGGCGGCTTGATTTATTTCAAGAGCATATGTTTGAAGTCTTGGAAAGGGCAAGAAGGATGAATCGGTAGGTTTTCAAAGCTATTTCTTTTTGAGAAGGTGTGATATTTAAATACAAAACAGAAGAAGATTCTGCTTTGATATACTATTTCAGCTTAGGTACATGATTCCAGTTGGTGGGGTGCTGTTTTGAATTCTAATTTGCCACAACTTGTAGAGAGCAAGTATATGCTACAGGGTAGAGAAGTCACGTTGCTAAATCATCTAGGTCAGGACCTTTGAGAAAGAGTAGAGGACGGAGTTGAAGATCTGTTGAAAAGCATAAACTCTTAAAATATAGCCTTTCACAGAACACATTTCGAAAGGATAAAATGTTTATAAATTGAAATCGTATTGTGATTTTCTCTTAAACTTTGAGTTCAATCCGAGCATGCTTTAAATAAATGCAGATAGCCCTAAGTTCTTGATCTGAGGTTAGACTGATTTAAATTTGATCACCATTTCCTAAAAGGGTGGCTTCTTTTTTTTTTTAATCTCAGATTTCTCACTTCTAAGTGCCTTTTGTAGCATTAGAAGCACTGAAAGAAGCAGTCAAGTTTAATTTTCCATCAAATTTGAATTCCCTTTTAATTTTGATCTACAATATATCTTTGTCACATAACACTGGTATAAATCGATTATTAAAACAATTTCAGTTCAGTGGTTATGGCATGTCTTCTGGTTGCTCTTAGAGTCACTTGGGGAAATATAAAAAGCTAAAGATACAAACCTTTCTGGAGCTTATAGTGTACCATGCTGAAAGGAAACTTTTAGGCATTGGGTGTGAGGTAATTCTAGCTGGGGAATCTGGTGAAGCCTGCATTTGCTCTGGATTTTGAAAGAAAAATTAGTAATAAGGTATGCTCTTCCCATTAAGCACCTGCTCTTTATAAAGAAGCGTGCTGAACACTTTATGTAGATAGTCTCTAACCCTTGTAGCCATTCTAGATGATAATCTTCCCACTTTGCATATGAAGAAGTGGTACCTAAACTTATAGAAGTTGCCTAAAGTCACACAACTTGTAAGTGGTTCATCTTATTCCCCACCACAGAGCCAGTCACCAAGACACCAGTCATGGAGCCCAGCCATGGATGATAAGGCTTGTGCTCTGTGCTCTAAGAGCTTGAAGCCTGACAGTTGGGATCGGTCCTATGCTTGGGGAAGAATAATTCCAGGCACGAGACAACATATAACAACTTGATAGATAGTAAAGACGGTGGAGTAGAAACTCTGCACTGGAGTTCTAAAAAAGACATGAGGCATCAGGGAAGAATGGGGGAATGGGTGGGATGCAGATAAGGCAAGTGGCCTGAGGAAAGGCATAGGGTTAGGAAACTAATATGTTCAAGAGATGGGTGAAGTGGAGGTCAGATTGGAGAGGCCCTTGAATGATGACACATGTAGGAAATGGTCCTTATTGTTCAACATTGGAGATACAAATGAAGAGAAAGATGGGGAGACATCTTGCAGTCAGAATTTACATTCATTATTTTCATTTATTCAACAAATGTTAATTGAGTGGCTACTAGTTATAAGTCTGTTCTAGATACATAGGATATACCAATGGACAAAACAGACAAATCCTGCTTTCATGGAGCTTAGACTTCATTTTTGTTCTCAGTTTTTTTAAATAGTTCTTAAATCTAAAGTCACCCCTCTCCTCCACCCCTGCCCCATCCCCATTACATCTTGGGGTTAGTTCTGTGAGTCTTCTAAAAGTGCATTTGTCTCTTAAATCATTAACAACTTTGTGTATCTTATATAGATGATGTGACAATTTCAAGAAATAAACAGATTTGTATCTCTAGGAAATGAGCTCTTTTCATTCTCCCATTACTGACATGATTGATAATTTGCTTTTGAGGCCTGGGAGGTAGAGTCTAGGGTGCATTTATTTATATGATATAATGAGGAGTTTCACTCTTTGGCCCAGAGCTTTGCAAAACCATTTTTATGGGAAGCCATTTTTATCTTTGTGAATGAAGGTCATCTTATGACTGTTTATAGTACTTAAGGGTAACCCCATGCTGCTGAGGTAGAGATGCATCAGTTTAGTTGAATGATAAACCATCATTTTATCTACTTTGCCAGTAATGAAGATAGACATCTTAGGGGCGCTTGGGTAGCTTAGTTGGTTAAGCGTCCGACTTCAGTTCAGGTCATGATCTCACAGTTCGTGAGTTCGAGCCCCATGTTGGGCTCTCTGCTGTCAGCCCAGAGTCCATTTCAGATCCTCTGTCTCCCTCTCTCTCTGCCCCTTCTCCATGCACACTATTTATCAAAAATAAAAACATTAAGAAAAAAAGACCTCTCAGAAACATAATTTCATGAATTTAATGAAGTCCATATGCACTAGATTTCCGTGTTGATATCCAGCAGTGTTCATGCTTCTTTACACTCACCCCTACCTACCACTACCAGCCAGTATCAACTAGGACTTTACATCCTGAAACAGAAGGAGTCTGAAAAGTGAGGTGTAGAAAAGTTCACTCGGGACAGTGGTTTGTCCATCAGCAATACTCTGTAACAGCACAGCGCTGACTCATGCCAGTTAGCTGCTGGCTTTCCTAATATGCTGGCAGTATTCCTGAATTAAGTTCTCTGACTACCTTACAGGGACTTGGGACAACCAGGGCAATGGAAGCAGTAAGAGCTTCCTAAACTCTTATTTCATTCTACTGAATGTCTACGTTACAAATAAAGATTATATACTAGCAAGGGAATAAGAGCTCTTTGTTTTGCCAGCTTGAGTTTTTGTTCTTGTGCATACAGGGAATACCGAGCCTCTTAGATTAATAAATTAATTGTTCACATTATTTTGTTTAAATAAAACAGGAAAGATCTGTCAGATGTCTAATGGCTATGTACAGAACTTTCCTTACTAGACAACATGACATGATGGAGTTAGGAATCTCCCCTTTCAGTTTAACAGGGATTACCAAAAATGGATTTTCACTTTTTTTTTTTCAACATTTTTTTTTTTTATTTATTTTTGGGACAGAGAGAAACAGAGCATGAACAGGGGAGGGGCAGAGAGAGAGGGAGACACAGCATTGGAAACAGGCTCCAGGCTCCGAGCCATCAGCCCAGAGCCTGACGCGGGGCTCGAACTCACGGACCGCGAGATTGTGACCTGGCTGAAGTCGGACGCTTAACCGACTGCGCCACCCAGGCACCCCTGGATTTTCACTTTAATTTTATACTTAAAATTGTAAGCTATTATAAAATGAATTTCAATGTCAAGTGAACAGGCTTCAGATATCTCTTCAGAAAACAGGCATCGAGATATCATAGGAATTTCTTCCTTTGACCACTTTTTGTATTGGTTTCCTACAAGTGTTAGCATTTTTGTAATTTGAAAGGATTTTTAAAACCTTTCCAGAAACATGCATTTAGGGTATTGCTGGCAGTGTTTTTAGATTGTTTGCCAGTTCACTTTTGTTGATGAGGAGAAGCATTCTGGAGGCTTTACTAAAACGTGATGCTCTAGTGGTCAGTGGCAACAGGCGGCTCACTGGGCTTGCTACACCTGCCACACTCCTCTGACCAGAATGTCTCTGTAGATGCTGCTGAGACTTTGTGGTTTCCTTTGTGAATGATTTTTCAGCCCCTGGGATTCTTAGTTAATAGAATTATGTTTAAGCGATCCTCAGACCACAGTGGAATAGAGATAGTAATAAAAGTTCTTCCAGTCTGAATTCTGAAGTTGATTTTGCCCAGGTCTCTCATTCTGTAAATGAAGAAAGAGTCTTTAAAAAGCTTTCAGGGGGCGCCTGGGTGGCGCAGTCGGTTAAGCGCCCGACTTCAGCCAGGTCACGATCTCGCGGTCCGTGAGTTCGAGCCCCGCGTCGGGCTCTGGGCTGATGGCTCAGAGCCTGGAGCCTGTTTCCAATTCTGTGTCTCCCTCTCTCTCTGCCCCTCCCCCATTCATGCTCTGTCTCTCTCTGTCCCAAAAATAAATAAACGTTGAAAAAAATTAAAAAAATAAAAAAAATAAAAAAAAAAAAATAAAAAGCTTTCAGTATGACAGATAATTATTTTTCTCTTTTTCACTATGTTGTCTCTGCTGATTCCCCAGCATTGTGTAGTTACTGCTGGGGAAACTAACATGAACACAGACTTTGAGGCCTGTCGCCGTTGTAGGGTGAATGCCCTCATGACTTTGCAGTTTAGGGTCAAATTTTTGCTGAGGCCTCCCAGCTTAGGCAAGGATGATACAGATTCAAAAAGAAGAAAGCCGACACTGCCTAAGTCTTCTGTTAACACTTTATATAATGTGTTGGTCCCTCAGTTAAGAGAAAGTAAAAATTAATCCAAGGATTAGATACAAGTGCTGTACACAGTGGGGAGGCTCGGTGTAGTCCTTGATTCTGGCTGCCCCCTTCTGTTGCCAAAATCAGTTGATATTTGCACCACATTTCTCCCCAAAAACCGTATGAGGCCTTTTCTTTTATATGTGCTGTACAAGGAGTAAACCGTAAGGAAAAGCAGACTGGTGGCCATGGGACTCCTCCTCGAGGTCAAACAACACTTCAGATTCTGTTGTAAAACTTTTCTTTTAAATTTTTTTTTTTTAAAGTTTATTTTTTTATTTTTTTTTGAGACAGAGAGAGACAGAGCATGAACGGGGGAGGGGCAGAGAGAGAGGGAGACACAGAATCGGAAACAGGCTCCAGGCTCTGAGCCATCAGCCCAGAGCCCGACGCGGGGCTCGAACTCACGGACCGCGAGATCGTGACCCGAGCTGAAGTCGGCCGCTTAACCGACTGAGCCACCCAGGTGCCCCTGTTGTAAAACTTTTCAAGGAGATGCCCTACTGTACAGAAGTACCCTTATGTCCTGTAACATTATTGGTAACTAAACATGTAATCGAGGTGTGTAAAGGAAGCAGCTTGTATGTCAGTGGATACTCTTGATCCCCTTATAGGACAGACTCTGAAATATATGAGGATGCGGTGGAGCTGCAGCAGTTTTTTATTAAAATCCGTGATGAGCTCTGCAAAAATGGGGAGATCCTCCTATCACCAGCGCTCAGTTACACCACGAAGCACTTGCATAACGACGTGGAGAAAGAGAAAAAGGAAAAATTACCAAAAGAAATCGAGGAAGACAAATTAAAGAGAGAAGAAGAAAAAAGAGGTTGGTTTCTTTTCATCTTGTTAAATATGAGGAAACGTTATACTGTGTTCTAGTTGTGGTTCGCACTGGGAGCTGTGGGCATGAATCCTGTGTGTGTAAATGTTGACTCTTTCAAAATGATGTATTGATAGAAATGATTTTATCATCATCAGTTTGGTCATCAGACTGTTAAATGGGACGTTTCATGTGGCACAGCTGTTATCCTAGTATTTCAGGAACGGAGTCCGTTCGTTCACAAGTGTGGGAGCTCAACAGTCTAGTATTGTGAGGAGATAAAACCTAAGGAGCCCATCTGGAGCTAGAAAGCATTCTCAGCAGTGAGTGCATCAAGGCTCTACCCTGTCATTTAGTAGACTGACTTTCCTCCCGCAGACTCAGGCCAGATTAGTAGATGATACTTTGGTTGAACCACAATACTAGGAGGAAATTTTTATTTTCATTTATCAACCCAAAAATGTTACTTGGAGTCACTTGCTAGAATTTAGAAATATTTTGACAGTGAGAACTCTTGTTAGAAATTTGACCATTTCTAGGGGCGCCTGGGTGGCTCAGTCGGTTGAGGGTCCGACTTCAGCTCAGGTCATGATCTCACGGTTCGTGGGTTCAAGCCCCGCCTCGGGCTCTGTGCCAACAGCTGGGAGCCTGGAGCCGGCTTCGGATTCCGTGTCTCCCTCTCTCTCTCTGCCCCTCCCCCGCTGGTGCTCTGTTTCTCTCTCTGCCTCTCAAAAATAAAGAAACGTAATAAAAAATTAAAACAAAAAAAAGAATTTGACCATTTCCGGGCTCTCACTGGAGTCACCACCATGGCCCACCAAGACACGCATGCGCGCTGCTCCTCACCCTGCCGGAGCTGGCGCTAATAGTTGTGCTGGCCGCAGCACTGGCACGGGGCTGGTGCAGGGCTGGGGCACCGCGCTCTGCCGCCGCTGCCTGCCTTCCCCCTCCCCGCGAGGACGTGGCATGCATGGCCTACTTCTGGACGCACATCTGTGACTGGGCAGCAGTATGCCCTACTTCCACCTGAACCTACTACCACAGTGGGTGGGCAACCTGCAGAAGAATCCATATGCTACACTCACCATGTCTGGCACACTCTAACTTCTACAGGAAGCATGGATTTGATCCCCAGAGTCCCTTCTGTGCTCACACAATAGTGTCAGGAATTATTACCGAGGCAAATGAAATGGAAATGGTCTTTGCCAAGGGTTCACTGTTCATCCGACACCCTGGTTTGAAAACCTGGCCTTGCAACCATCATTGGTTTTTTGCTAAGTTGAATATAACCAACCTCCGGGTCCTGGACTACTTTGGTGGACCAAAAATAGGGCCACCTCAAGAATATTATGTCATATTTCAGTGAAGCAGAAAATAGATTTAACAGCATACGTGAGGTTGCTTAGAATGGCTCAAATAAGGTTTGAAGGGATTAATGTTTCTCTGTGGAACGTTTCCCAGATTAACTAGTTTTCTTTCACGTGCTGGTTTGTTTATTTGCTTGCTTGCCTGTTTATAAAATACAGTTGGACTGTTCGTGGATTTCTTGGAAGATGTGGTTGCTAGATTTCTTTCACATTTTGAAGCCATTTTCATAGAGGTATCTTTCATTACAAGTTTTTCTCCTTTAATTGCAAATAATTTTCAAACTGTGCTCCTTGAAGAGGAGCAAGTACCAGATTCAGATTGCCCATTGGCATTTGAAGGTACTCAAAGATGTGTTCTTAATTCCTGGAAGCCATCGTGTTGGAGAAAGGACCTCACTCACCCACAGCTGTGTCTGAACTGCCCAAGTCTGTCCGGCAGGACTGGCCTGTGTTACTGTGCACATGTGTATGTGTGGCCAAGCCACACCTGGTGAGACACAAATGGAACTTCCACCTCATGGTCCATTTGTGTCTGACAGGACTGGGTGTTATTGATCCAACATAGGGCAAGACCATTTCTTATAAAGAACTTTTTTTTTCCACTTTTCAAATCTAAAGTAATAACTACCTTACCTAGAGCAAAAGTTCATAAAACTTTTCCTGAATTTGATTTCCCTACCTAGGTGGACACTGTATAATCAGTGTCCTCCACTCAAAACACATACATACACACATGTATACTTTCATTTTACTTTTATTTTATTTTATTTTATTTTATTTTATTTTATTATTTATTTGTTGCCCATAAGTGGGCTTGCAAAAGAAAAAAGGATGCAGGGAATTTTGTGTAAGTCATTTCTGGTGTTCTTTTGTAAGGTGTACCAGACATGGACCAACTTAGGTCAGGTCCAAAACTCCATGCCCCCAACTTCACTCTGTAGCTTTTCTTTTTTTTTTTTTTTAAAAAACGTTTATTCATTTTTGAGAGACAAGGCATGAGTGGGGGAGGGGCAGAGAGAGAGAGAAAGACACAGCATCAGAAGCAGGCTCCAGGCCCCAAGCTGTCCACACAGAGCCCAGTACGGGGCTCGAACCCATGAACCGTGAGATCATGACCTGAGCCGAAGTTGGACACTTAACCAACTGAGCCACCCAGGTGCCCCCACTCTGTAGCTTTTTAAATAATGCTGCTCTCAGTAGTGTCCTAAGGCTTCCTTAGTTGCTGTAAATCTTTAAATGGTTCCTGTGCTGTTACTACCTTAACCGGGTCGTCAGGGAGAAGATAATGTTAAAAAAAAAAAAAAAAAAATCACATTTCTTCAGGAAAGAAGAGACTGTTTGCTTTTACCATCTATTTACATGATTTCAGAAGATGATATAAGGTCTCATAAAGAGGTGTGTCAGGAACCAAGGTGCTTAATCCTTACATGGCTGAAAGAAAGGAAGTTGAATATAAGTCATTATGTTTGAAAACTACAAAATGAATTTACCTGAAATGCAGCAAATAGCTTCTGTTTAAGAAAAATGATTTATATTAAACCTGGTAAAATAGCTTTTTTACTCAGAATAATAAGAAGCATTATTGTAATGAAAAAAAATTGATCATTTCTTGTAAAGTTTTTATCATTTTTATTTATTTTCATGAGATAGCTGTCTTTTTTTTTTTTTTTTTTTTTTTTTTTTTTTTTTTTTTTTTTTTTTTGAGCATAGTTGACACACAATGTTACATTAGTTTCAGGTGCATATCTTGTAAATTTTGAGTTCACATAGATACCTAGACTATGTGATTTTCTGAGAGTTACATTAGTTTCAACATCACATCTGCTCCTTAGGGCTTTTTTTTCCTTAGGCCAGAAAACAAAGTTGATTTGAAGCAAATTCTCATAAGCAGTGGCATATGCAAAGACGAGAAGGGAACCTGGTTGGTGAGAATAATTTACCAGCATAAGGCTATCTGCAAGACCCAGCGACTTTTCTGCCAGAGGAGATGTACTGATTCAGGATGGCGAGGGTGTATGGGCAGGGGATGTCTTTGGCAGCTAAAAGTGGTCGATGCAGAGATAAACGGGCCAACATTACAGTTGAGGGTGAGGACTATCCTGGAAGTCAGCCATAGAGGAGTGAGCTAGCTCTCACCACGTTCTTGGCTGACTGGGAAACCATGCCTGTGCAAAGGAGCTAGGAGAACCATTTTGCAAGCAAAATGCAAGCGGTCCTTGGACATTGGTTACAGCTTTGAGTGGGTCCCCCAAGCCACATGCACATCAGTCATTGGAAGGTGAATCCTTAAAAGTTTTAAGTGTTTGAGGACAGTCTTCACCTAAATCATTGGCTGACCCATAGCTAAGCAGACTTAGGAGCAAACCCTCATGCCATGTATTCTAGTATACTTATATTGGGAGTCTCGACGGAAGAGAAAGAAAGCGGGAGGGAATACTTGAAGACATAATGGCTGAAAACTTCAAATTTGATGGAGAACATTAACCTACAGCTCTAAGAGCACTAAGAGAACACAGAGAGACCACATCTAGGTACACCATAAACTACTGAAAGAGAAAACTGTGAAAGTAGCAAAACTTCTCAGGTCCAAGAAAACAGAAATATGATAATGGTTCATAAGAAATCATGGAAACCAGAAAGCAGTGACACGATATTCAAAGTGCTGAAAGGGACAAAAATTGAACCAACAATTGTATATCCAGTGACACCATCTTTCAAAAATGAAGCTGAAATAAGACATTCCTAGATAAACAGAAACAGAATTCACTGCTGCCAGATCTTCCCTATAAGAAATCCTAAAGGAAGAGCTTCAGGCCAAAAGAAAACACCACCAGATGGTTGACTCAAATCCATAAGAAGGACTGAAGAGTAGTGGAAATGGTAAATATGTGGGTAAATATAAAACACTATATATTTTTTCTCTTCTCTTAATTTCTTTAGAAAACATTAGATTGTTTAAAGAGTTACATCATCAATTTTAGGTTTACAGCATTTATAGAAGTAATGTATGTGAACAGTAGTAGCACAAAGGAATGGAGCTATTTTGGAGCAAAGTTGCACTATTTAACAAAATCAAGTCAGTATTAACCTGAAGTAGATGGTGATAAGTGAAAGATGCATACCGTAATGCCACTAAAAACAAATAGCAATAAAAATCCAACATAGAATTAAAATGGTACACCAGAAATACTTGCTTAAAAGAAGGCAGTAAGGAAGGAAAAGAGGAACAAAAAACGTAAGACGTAAAAAAAAAAAAAAAAAAAAACAAGTAGCAAATGGTAGATGTGAATTCATTCATAGCAATAATTATATTACATGTTGCAAATAGACTAAGCACTCCAATCAAAATACAGACTGAATTTTAAGAGATCCAACTCTGTGCTGTGTGTAAGAAACTCATTTTAGATTCGAAAACACAAATAGGTTGAAAGGAGAAGGAGGGGGAAAGATACACCGTGCAGATAGTAACTGTAGTGAGTTGGAATGGCTGTATTAACATCAATAGGCTTTTTTTTTTAAGTTTATTTATTTATTTTGAAAGAGAGCAAGCACTAACAGAGAATGAGCAGAGAAAGAGGGAGAGAGAGACAATCCCAAGAAGGCTCTGCACAGGCAGCACAGAGCCCGACCCAGGGTTCG